CGAGATAGTTGTACCATTTGGTGTTCATAATATATATTATCTTTTATATCACACTTTTCTTATTTTATATTTTCTTTTATCATTTATTTTGTTTATTTCGGTACTTTAATCAAATTAATTGATATTGTTTTTAAATTTTTTTTCTATTATACCGTATTATACATCAACTATTCAAAGTTTCGTTCGATTATTTTATCTAAAACATATTTTTATTTTTATATTACACTCATGCATTGCATTAGCATCCTCTTTTCATTCATAAAGGTGTATCGACGTGTTTTAATATTAGTATAAATAGAAATTTTACCCCATTTTCAAAAATATATATATAATCGTATAAATTGAACTTTTAGATTTCTACTAAGAGGTGTTAGCAATGTAGCATAAATTAGTCCCGGCGGGGCTCGAACCCGCGACCTTCGGCTCATAAGACCAACGCTCTAACCAACTGAGCTACGGGACTAATTCATTAAAAAGGCACTAAACTAACTACTAAACCATATGCCATTGTATGTTAGTAACACTACTATGGTGGCGTTTTTGTCTCAAATTGTTTTTTTTACTTCACAATTTCATCGAACCGTTAATTACAAAAATAATTTGAGACAAAAAAGACTTTTTAAAGAGACAAAAAAGACTTCTTAAAGAGACAAATAATATGGGACGAAAGGAGCAGTTTATTTTTGTTGATGAAACAAGTAAATTGTTACAACACTACATGTTTATGCAAGCATATAAATCAACAATCTCAAACATTGCTGAAATGAATACAATCGTACGAGTTTATTGCATGATGCATCACATTTTTATTACATTCGTAACTTTAATCCACTTGTTTAGGACCCTGACATGAACGCCTCTAGGCTTTGCAATATGATCGGAGCACCGTATTGTGGTTGAAGAGTTACAACGGAGAAAGGAGCATGCAAATATGATGGCGAAAGCTCAAATGAGAAGCTTCGGAGAATAGTAGCTAGAGCCATTTTTGCTTCAACCATTGCAAAGTTTTGTGCGATGCATATCCGAGGGCCTGAGCTGAACGGTACAAATGACGATTGAATTTTCGATACTCCATCAGAGAACCTTAGGGGATTGAACTCGTTTGCATCGTCTCCCCAAATATGGGAATCACGGTGGACTAACCCTACCATCAACAACAAATGTACTCCGGCCGGAATAGTTAGGTTTCCGAGTTTCACCATCTTTGTAGAGCATCGGTTGATCATAGGTAATGGCGGGTACAACCTCAACACTTCTTGCAAGATCATAGTAACCTGTTATTAAGTCAAGATGTATAATTATTACAATGATCATAACCCACAATTAATTAAACATTTTGAGAAATTGTTCTATTGTCTCAAAATCATAGAAAAAATAATATTTATGGTTCATAGGGTTTTCATTTTCCTCTTAGTGTTTAACCCAAAATGAATATATGTTCCTTAAAATGATTCTAAAAATTACTCTCTTCTCCGAATATGACTTGACTTGCTACAGAAAAAAAAAATGTCTTCACTAGAAAATAAATAAACATCGCTCTGGTTACTAAATTCTTCTACAGAAATCTTTTTTTTTTCTCCAACACATTCAGTCATGATTTGACTGCTACAATGTTTTATGTTTCATTGCAAAGTGAAACAAACAACTTTCATTTTGAAAAGAAAATGAAAATAAGTCTCAAACCGCTTCCAAGTATTGTAGCAAACTTGTATGAAAATGTGAAACTAAGATACATAATAAATAAAAATCTTACCGTCTTGAGCTGATTTAATCCTTCAAAACTCGGCTCCGAGTTCCCAAAAACCCGAATAACCTCTTCTCTTGCTCGAGTTTGCCATTCAATATGTTCGCACAACAACACCATAGCCCACACGAGCAAACAAGCCGTTGTCCCCGAGCCGGCCACACCATGTGCTGAACCGGACAAAGTGAAATAATTATCATCACTGTTCAAAATAAAACTGTATTATTTCTAGTTGACAGTAAATTACTTACTCTCTTAATCCCTGGATAATTAACGTACATATTTAATTGATGATCTCTACTTTGATGTCACAATGGGAGAGATTCCTTCTTTGAGTCAAATGGCCCCCGGTGCGTTGGGTAGAGACATTAAGAATTAATAGGTGTAAATTAATTATCGAAAGGAATTCACATCTCTGAAATATGGGATTGATAATAACCCTTGAGTAGCTTATGAGATTTGTTTATGCCAAGTCCTGGCCAGGTGGATTTCGTATCCGGCATACTCAAATAAGTTAAGCGGGTAAGACTCATGAAAAGAAACCATTTAATTTATTTAGCAGTGAATAAATTATTTGGTGGTTATAACTTATAAGATATCTTAATGTGGGGAGAATCTAAGTAATGATCGACCGGAGCTCGAATGTAATATTTGAGAATATAAACGGGAGTTCAATAATTATTTCGTAGTGGAAAATAAATAATTATTTAATGATTATTAAATGAATTCTTTTAAGAGTTTGGATTTAATTAATTATTAGTTGCCCGATTTATATTTTCTCCTTTCGTCCCTATTGTAGCCCAATGGGTTTTCTAATTAATCGAGAAAATAAAGTTCAACCAATATTATATATTGGAATTAATATAGCCGAAAATTAAGTCCACATTGGATTGCTATTTTCGACTATATAGAGTTATAGAAGGAGTGGGATTTGTTTCCATGTAATCCTCTCTATGTGTGTCTTTAATTCCTTGTGATGAGAAAATTATGAGTACACGCCTATTCACGTACGAGAGAAATCTAAGTTTAGATTTTTTCTCTTATTCTTTTCTCTCTAAGTTTTTCGTTTATAGATTTAGATTTCTTCAAGTACAAGTCCACCTTTGTAGAAGAATTATTAATCCGGGATATACAATAGAAGATTATATGTTTTTAGAGCAAACTATAATTCCCGAAATTTCTGAGCAGTCATGCGAGGAAATTCACCATAAATCAACCCTTCATCTGATGGGCTTGAAATTTATACATTAGCTTCCTAACCCATAGTATTATAATCCTTTCGAAAGGTTTCTCAATTAGATCAACCATCTCGGAGATATCCGTGAAGGAAGATTGCTGGAAATTTCTAGACAACAGTTTTTTCAGGATTGAAGGCTTGACGTGGTCCTCTTTCGTGCGCCGAAAATATAAACGAATCTGTTCGCGAAAACAGTAAGTTGCTAGATTAGATTTATTCCGCTTTAAAAGAATCTAATCAGAGCATGTTAATAAAATTAAAACCGGCTAATCTAGAACCTCTTGCGAAATTTCATTGACTCCTGAGCTTCATGATAAGTGTTCGTTTTGCACGATTTTTGCTTATCAAATCTTCGAGTTTTGGTCTTCGTTCGTCCGAGTTTCGGCTTTATTTGTATATATTATTGCGTTTCTTGTTTTATTTCCTTTTTTAGGTTTTGTTAGCTTTTGTTGCCAAGTCGAAGCCATTTGGAAGCGAAACCGATTTTTCAAGCCGAGAAAGTGATCATTAAGACCCAGATCGCGATCCAGGAAAGTCGGATCGTGATCTGGATGCAAATTCCAGTAGCAAGCAAGTTCAGACCCAGATCGCGATCCAGGAAAGTCGGATCGCGATCTGGTGACAAATTCCAGTAGCATCGTGATTTTGGGGCAGATCGCGATCCGCACTTCCTGGATCGCGATCTGGGATGGCGGTTCACGTTTTTTAGAGAAGCCAGATCGCGATCTGACTTTATTGGATCGCGATCTGGCACGATTTTCGAGGGCAGATATTTTAAAAAGCAAAGCTTCTTGAGGAAGCTTTGCAATTTACTATAAATAGAAGCAAGCCCTCACTCTTCGTTCTTCTTCGACTTTTTACGGTTTTCGACAGTTCTTCGCGGGAATCATCAACGGGGGTTCCGACTTGGGTTTTTCTTACGCAATTTCTTTACGTTTTGTTCTTCATTTCCTTTGTACATTCTTTTGATACTATGTTTGTTATGAACTAAGAACATTTTCTTCTAGGGTAATGAAGCCTTGTATATATTGATTTCGATCGTCATTTCTGCTATCTATTTGTCGTGTTTTGATTTCGTTTATGTTTTCCTGTATTAAATGCTTCTGATTGTGTTGATCAACTCTCAGATTGATATTAAATAGGAATGAACTCGAGAGAGGATTTCTTGTTTGAAGTTAGGAAAACATAGCTCGGGGTGTGGAAACGGAGACGTGATGCACTTCGGGTAGCCCTTAAGGACTTGACCTAAATGCTCTCTTAATAGCAGGTTCTGAACGGAGACGTCGGACCTGTGGGTAGACTCTAACTACACTGAAGACGGGGGTTAGAGTACATTAGCGTCTGGGTTAACGAAAAGGAATGTGACATTAGATAACGGATTTGTAGATCGTTATTGATTATACATAGGTGGATTTAGCCCTAGAAGTCCCCTTTAAATCGAAGTCCCCCCCGCGTTGAGTTGTCGTTACTTTATTTACGTACATTCTAAATTTGCATGTTTACGATCTTGCATGCTTTCAAATTAGGGTTTCTCACAATTCCAAATATTTACGATCGGCTAGATAATATAACGATAATATAATTACACTACTCAGCATTTGAATCTACAAGGTCCCTGTGGATCGATATCCGGAACCACTGTTCTGCAAAATGCGATACCGTATACTTGCGGTAATTTATACGTGAGGAAAACGCGTATCAAGTTTTTGGCGCCGTTGCCGGGGACCAATTTGATTTTATCTTTGTTGATAGTGTTACCAATTATCTGATTATTACTTTAGCCATTTACTTGTTTTATTTTCGATTTTTACCTTGATTTTAACCACTCACTTTGTTTATGCCCAGGCGTCGAAATTTGGAAATCATACCTTACGATCCCGAGATTGAAAGGACATTACGTAGACTAAGGGCCACGCGCAACCAACAAAGTGAACCAATGGCCGAAGATCAAGGAAATCCAGAGCACCTGGCCTTTGAGTACGATCGAGAGCCAGGACGAGATCACGAGCAGCCAAGACCGAACCTACCACCCGAGCGAACAATGCGAGAATACCGAACTCCAGCTGTGAATGAGAACTATTCGGGAATCAGGAAACCGACGATAGCCGCAAACAACTTCGAGCTGAAGACGGGGCTAATCAACATGGTCATGGCGAACCAATTCTCCGGAGCAGCCACTGCAGATCCAAATCTCCATCTTGCCAATTTCTTGGAGATTTGTGACACGATCAAAGTTAACGGTGTTTCTGATGATGCCATCCGGCTGAAGCTATTCTCATTTTCTGTCAGAGACAAAGCGAAGAGTTGGCTTCTGAGTCTTAATCCAGGATCACTCACCTGTTGGGAAGAATTACCACAAGCCTTTCTGGCACGATTCTTTCCACCCTCGAAGACCGCACAACTACGAAGAGATGTAGGCAATTTCAGACAGATGAGCCAAGAGCCGATGCACGAGTCTTGGGAGAGATTCAAGGACTTATTACGACAATGCCCTCAACACGGATTCAACCGGTGGGATCAAATGGAGTTATTCTACAATGGGCTCGATCAACCAGCCCGATCTTTAGTCGATGCTGCCTCAGGTGGATCATTGCAAAACAAGACTCCCACAGACGCTCGAGACATTGTCGAGCGAATGTGTGAGAATGCTTACCATTGGCCGTCCGAACGGAGTGGTATACAAAAGGTGGCCGGAGTCCACCAACTCGATCCTTTAGCCGCAGTTTCAGCACAACTAGCGACCCTATCAAATCAGGTCGCCCAATTATCAGTTCGAGGGCCACAGACCGAACGAGTAGCAGCAGCAAGTACCTCACAAGCCACAAACGACGATTGGGAGCATGCACACTTTATGAACCACCGATTCAACAATTTCCGAGGAACCAACAATCAGAACCAAAACCCTACTCATTACCACCCGGGAATTCGGAATCACGAGAACTTCTCCTATGCCAATCCAAAGAATGCTCTACAACCACCTCCCGATTTCAACCATCAAAGAGAGCAACGAGGGCCAACGTATGACGAGCGTCTTCACCGACAAGAACAGGAAATGGAGGGCCTGAAATCAACAATGAAGAACATGGAGAAGCAAATAGGGCAAATCGCCCAATCCATGTCCACAATGGCCAAGGGTGGATTTCCGAGCAATACCGAAGTCAATCCAAAGGAAAGCTGTCAAGCCATAACCACCCGAAGTGGTTTGCAAATGACTGATCCTCCTTATCCGACAGACGAATCACCAAGGCCAGCTGTACAACCGACCCCGGTCGAGCCGGAAATCACCATTTCAGGGAGTAGTACAAAAGAGACTAGTAAGCCCAATAACATTTCTTTTCCTGATAATCCCCCTCTTATGATAACTCCTATTCCTTTTCCAGAAAGACAGAAGAAGAAGAAGTTCAAGGATCAATTGAAGAAGTTCATTGAAAGGATCAAACAGATTCGAATCAACATCCCTTTTGCAGAAGCCTTGGAGGTAATGCCAAACTACACCAAGTTTATGAAGGAAGTCCTATCCAAGAAAATTCGGATCGAAGAAGACATACCAGTGACACTCACGGCAACTTGCAGTGCCATTCTTCAGTCGAATCTACCACCGAAAATGAAAGATGCAGGGAGTTACACTATTCCTTGTATTATTGGAAATTCTACTTTCGATAAAGCTCTATGTGATTTGGGGGCAAGTATTAATTTGATGCCTATGTTTGTGTTTCTAAAACTGAGCTTAGAAAATTTGAACCGCACTCGCATGACTTTACAACTAGCTGATCGTTCATTGAAATATCCCGATGGGATTGTAGAAGATGTGCTAGTTAAAGTAGATAAATTCATTTTGCCTGTTGATTTTGTGGTACTTGAAATGCCTGAAGATGATGAAGCACCAATCATTTTAGGTCGTCCATTCCACTGGTAAGGTGATGATTGATATGGAATTAGGATCTTTAATGCTTAGGGTAAATGGGGAAGAAGTTGTTTTTAATTTGACAGATGTATTCAAACACTCTGAGCATGTTGAGCATTGCAGTAGAATAGACGTGATCGAGGACTGTGTTTCCTCCTTTTTTGATTTGTATGAATTGGGTGATTCTATTGAGCACTGCATTGTTAATTCTATTGATTTGCATTCTGCCTCCCCTGAAACTCCTATTGAAAATGATGTGCTTGATTGTGTGTTGTTTCTTGAGTGTGCCAAGATTTTAGGCGTAGACGAGGTATGAATCGTCCCCGAGATACCAGTTAGTGTGAAAACGGCCCCCGTACTGGAATTGAAGGAATTACCGGATTATCTTTGTTATGCTTTTCTTGGAGCAGACAAGACTTATCCGGTGATTATTTCTTCTAGTTTGAGCGAGGCCGAAACAAACACACTGTTGGAGGTCCTTAGAGAATATAGGTCAGCTATAGGTTGGTCTATTGAGGATATTAAGGGAATTAGCCCGTCTATTGTTCAACACAAAATTCTAATGGAAGACGTCTATAAACCGAGAGTCCAACCTCAGAGGCGGTTAAACCCGTCAATGAAAGAGGTAGTCAAAAAAGAAGTCTTAAAACTGTTAGGCGCTGGTATGATTTATGCAATTTCTGACAGTCCGTGGGTCAGTCCGGTGCAGGTTGTGCCAAAAAGGGGTGGGATGACGGTTATTGTGAATGACAAAAATGAACTTATTCCGTCTAGAACAGTCACTGGGTGGCGTGTATGCTTCGATTACCGATTATTGAATGCAGCCACTAGAAAAGACCATTTCCCCCTTCCCTTTATCGATCAAATGCTAGACAGGCTAGGAGGTTTCGAGTACTACTGTTTTCTTGATGGTTATTCGGGGTACAATCAAATTTCAATCGCCCCGGAAGACCAAGAGAAAACTACGTTTACTTGCCCCTACGGTACTTTTGCATTGCGTAGGATGCCTTTCGGTTTGTGTAATGCGCCTGCTACCTTTCAACGATGTATGATGTCTATATTTCACGATATGGTAGAAGAGTTTCTTGAGGTGTTTATGGATGATTTTTCTGTGTTTGGATCG